TTTTATATGATATCCGTCATTATAATTACTATACAATAACCTATCAGCCATTCATCGTAGTTTTCTAATCTATTTCTAATCTAGTCCAGCTCTATAACAAATTTGGTCCCCTCTTCTAATTGCCAATAGTTTATCAGTAGTTTCCAATCATTTTTGAAGGTGTCATATCCTCCCCCCTTTATCAAACCCATTAATTTGTCCATTTCCATTAGATCGTATATTTTCCTATACCAATCTTTAATATCAGGAATTTCTTTGGTTTTCCGTTTTGCAGCATATATGATTCTTGCTGCCGTAATTAAATAAAAGGCCAGTTTCCCATAGTTTTTCCCCACATTATCTTCTGTTATCATCCCCAACAAATACATCTGTGGGTCCAAATTCATTTGTATTTTAAATATTTTCATCATATCATCGTGTATATATTGTGTTTTTAAAGAGGGGGGGGCTCTTCTTATCCTCCCACTGAGCTTCATCCCCTTTCACTTAAATGCTACAGCCCTTTTCTGCCCAAAGTCAGATGTTTTTATCAGAGGAGCAGTGGCCCTTAGGGTGTCACCTGGTGTGGTCCATCCCCCCTGCACCCCCTGCACCCCCGTAGTGACACCACTGTCAGAAAGCTCCCCCACCCCACTCATATGATACTTAGAGCAGTACTTATTTCAGTTAAAACAAATGATATTGGCTAGAATGCTCATTTGCAGTATGAATTGCTCTCTTTCCATTGCCTTCTGTGTTGCCAGATATTTGCAGAATTTAATGGGAGAGGCTCTATAGCTATAAACCCTGTAGTTATAAATGTACTTGGTCTTGGGCGAGACATTATCTACTTGCTTCAGCTTCCTGCTCTGCTATATGGGAATAATATAATGCCTATCTTTTACAGTGCCATCCATGGCAATTCCCTTTGACTTTTATGAGACTTATTTCCTAGTAAATGCAGTTAGGAGTGCACCCTTAGCTAATCCATTTTAAAACACTGCTATGGGATGGAAATTATAAGCCAATGTTTATTGGTGTGACAGAATGCTTCCAGCCTCAAAAAGACATGATATTTGTACCCATATTATTAAAAGTTTTGAGACAATACCGGTACCTCTGTTCAGTCTGGTGGTTCAGGCCACACATGCACACACACACATTAATAAAATATACATAGATATAAACAAATTCTTGCTACAGGACTGTGGAAAATGTGTGACTCAAAAAACTATATACAGACTGAAGATGGACTACAGCATGAAAGGAGAACCTGGGTGGTATTAGCAGCAGCCAGCCATAAAACAAAAATAACCTTCCTTCCTGACCACACAAAATGTTCTTTCCTTTCCTTTCCTTTCCTTTCCTTTCCTTTCCTTTCCTTTCCTTTCCTTTTCCTTTTCCTTTTGTGCCCCCCAAAAACCTTAATGCAGCAGAATATAAAAACTTTCTGTAGTGTTGATATGTCAAAAACCTTGAAGGGGAATACAGGTTACAAACAGAAGAGTCTATTAGATTTCTATTCTGGCATTTGAAAAAGGCAAAAAGCCAAACAGTTGCATTTACTTTGGCATTATTCACCATCCTGACATTTTGCTTGTTTTTGTTCTTTTGGCTGTGTGATGCTATGAATCGCGAGACAGGCTGAAAGATGTACAGGGTGATATAAGCCCTGGAAATGTTATAGATTTGGGAACTTTAACATATGACCACAGCTTTGTTTTGTCCTCTTAATTCCTGGCCATGTCTTTTTTTTTAAAATCACAAATCACACATCAAAAAATGAATGAGCCTTCTGATGCCCAAAAGCTTCCCAATCAAGTATGACAATATACTACCCCAATTTAAGATTCATTGTATGTGGAAGTGCATCCATATGGGTCAAAATTGATTATTTCTGCAGTGCGGATGCAGCCCAGGTATTTTGTTGTTATTACATGCTTTCAAATACATCATATGTGTTAGCAGCGGGAGGATGATAGTTCACATAAACATAACAAAAAGAATTTGTTTTGTTACCATCCAGAGAGGCTTGAACCTACCCCTCCGCATTTGATATCAGAGTTGTTATAAACTCAGCCTCTATGATCCTAAAGTGGATGCCATGAGGTGTAAGTGATGTCATGTTGGCTAGCTTAGGAGTTGCCAAAGAGGATTTATGTTCCGGTAATGTCGGGAGGAGATGAGGAAAAGCCTGGCCAGGCAACAGTAGAAACTCTGGTTGGAGTAAACAATTCCATTTACCTGGCACTGTAAGTGATTGACCCATTCACACCTCCATGTTACACCTCTGGAAGTGTCATTTAACCATATCAAAGATTTGAACCATTTGGCCACATTGAGTCTGTACTTTGCCCCAGGGCACAAAATCTCTATAAATTAGGAGACCTCTCCTTTGTTCGTTGGAGTAGCTAAGTTTGCAGGCAGAAGTGTTGCCAGTTTCCACTTTGTTAAATCTCTCTTTCACTTCCCAATTCCAGTGGCCCCGGGAGCGTTTGGATTCCTATTTTCTCCTACTATGATCTAGTCTCAAGAGGAGCAGCATCCATATAAGTACAGTATCTCCATTAGAAGTCCTAATTCTGTTTCATGCTAACGCCTTTGTTTCTCAGTTCTTGTGTGCATGTGACAATGATTGTGAAGTGTGTGCGTTGATTTTACCCCTTTAAAATAAAATTCAGTGAGAAACTGCCTCTGCAGTCCTTTTGCCTCCCACCTCTGTATATATAGAGATGATCCCAGGACTGCGTAACCCAGCTGATTATTGAGCTAATATTTAATTCACCCATAGTTAACTGTCTTTGGGCAGAGCTTCCATCCTGGTTACAGTTTGAAAGACAGTTTGAAAAAACAACACACTCAAGAGTAGCACTCCACTGACTGAAATCCTATTCTGCAACAGACCCATACTCTCTTGTCTTGTGCCTTCAAGGAAACTCCAGCTTATGGCAACCCTATCACAGGGTTTTCTTGGCAAGATTTACTTTGAGGAGGTTTACCATTGCCTTCCTCCGAGGGCGAGAAAGTACAAGGGGTTTTCATGGTTGCATGGTAATCTGAACTTTTGTCTCCTTTGAGCTCTCAAACTACTATGCAACACCTTTGTCAGCCTGTGGAAGGAAAACAGAGAAGGAGCAGATCTACATTCCCTCCAACATTTCACAGATGAAAAGTGGGACATGCGTGGCCAAGCAACATCAGAGTGTGGTCATGATGGTAAAATACAATCACACCCAAAATCCACAAAACAGTGACACCTTTATTCGGCCAACCAAAATGCATAATATACACACTGCAAGCTTTCAAAGCTCCACTGGCTTCTTCATCAGGCAAAAGGTGTTAAGAATAATACAGAAGAAAGAAGGGAAAAAAATGCTGCCAATGTTAGACATAGGCCTGCATTTTGTCAAGATATTGTGGTTGTTAACAACAACAGACCCTGCAACATGCATATTGTGCATTTTGGTTGGCTGAATAAAAGTATCGCTGTTTTGTGGATTTTGAATGTTATTGTACTTTGCTATATGGTCAACATGGCTACCCCTGGACACGATGGCAAAAGTTATTAACAAGGAAGAAGAGACAAGCTAGGAGAACCTGCAGCAATTTGCTTTTGCCTGAGCCTACAGAGAATGGTAGGATTCTGCCTCTTCCTCTCCTTTCCTCCCAGCTGAATTAACAGAGTCACAGCTACTTTTCTACTTTGAACCTGGTTTGCAGCAACTGAAGTACTGAAGCTGAGGAGAAAGTGGGATGGTAGGAGAAAGATAAAAAAACTGGGATATTTTAAAAGCTGAAAAAGGAGGATGACAGCTGGAAGGGATGGACCTAGCTTTCCTCAAGCTAGGCCTTGGAGAACCTGGAGTGGCCCCTAAGAAGGCCTGTTCTTGCTTTCTCACCCACCACTCCACCAACTCTCCTCCAAGGATTTTAAAACAGAGATTTAATGTGTACTCATCATCCCCTCTTGGTCATGAAAACCCACTGGGTGACCTTGGGCAAGTCACACTCTCTCAGCCTCATATGATGGCAATGGCAAGCCCCCCCCCCCGAAGAAAACTACCAAGAAAATCTCATGATAGGGGTTGCTTTAGGGTTGCCATAGTTGGAAATGACTTGAAGACAAACAACATATAGACACCATTTTCTCCACAAAGCCTAGTTATGAATGGGCATGTTTTGGTAAGATGGTGATGCCAAGGACAAATAGAACTTGAAGGAGATTTTTCTTTTAGCACAACATAACATAAAACGGAAATATTACAGTTGCATGCACTGAGTTCTGTGGATAAATAAAGGGAGGAGACCATGGAAGACAAACACAGAAATACCACATGGGAGGCATTAGTTTTATTTTAGATGTGATTCTATTTTACAGGAGGCCAACAGCTACATTTTTTTATTATTATTATTGGAATGGACGAAGGCGAGGCTGTGCTTTTCTGGCTTCTCCTCCTAAGTGGAATGAAGCCATTTGAACGGAAGAATTTCATTGTTGACAAAATTTCTGCAAACCATTATCTGCAAATATTCCCAGCTGAGTCACAAAGGAAATGACTTCACTAGAGAAAATGAGCGTTTGTCCTGAGTCAGAAATGAAGTACTGAACCCTCAGTGTTTCCTATCTGAGCTCTGTATTTGCTTAGCCAGGATTGCGCTGGGCAAATGAAAACATGGCTGTCATCTTGGGCCTGGCCTCCCATTCTCCAGAGGACAACCGTAGCTGTAAAATGTAATTTTGCACACAAACACCATTGTTGTTGTTTTAATGGCACATGCACAAGCACAAGCACAAACGTTCATTTAGATTATAGTTAATCTGAGCACAACCTTACACAAATAAAACATTGACAAAGAGCAAAGATACTTGTTTTCTCTAACAAAGTAAGCAAGTGTTGCCTCATTCTCAAAAACAGAAAAGAGCTCATTCTCCACCTTGTGGGAAAAATGGTGTACTCCATACATTTAAGAGAATGAAGAAATGCTTTCCATTTGAAAATACAAAGGGACTAGGGCCTGGCGGTGATGTCGACATAGTGGTTTGAGTGTTGGACTGTGACTCTGGAAACCAGGGTTCGATTCCCAGCTCAACCATGGAAACCCCCTGGGTGACCTTGGGCAGGTCACATACTCTCAGCCTTGGGGGAAAGCAATGGCAAACCTCCTCTGGACAAATCTTGACAAGAAAACCCCAGGATAGGTTCACCTTAGGATCAACGTAAGTCAGAACAACTAGAAGGCACACAAACAACAAGAAGTGGTGTCACTAGGGTAGGTGCAGTAACATGAGATCTCCCTCCAGCTAAGCAGCCACCCCACAGCTC